TTAAGTTCTGATTTATTTTGATTGGCTCATTTTAATGTTCTTTTGGAAACAAGAAACTGATACTCATAATGAACTGAATTTCTCTAAACCGTAGTGATTATGTGCGATGGAGGTATATGTTAAGTTAGGTGCTCATGGGTACTTTGTATACAGATAAATGATTAATTGGATTCTGTGTGCTATTTGTTGGATTGTTATAATATTCTGCCATGGAAGCAACAGTATAAAGACACCACAAATTTTATCCTTCACTTAAATTCTGTGTTCTGGAGATATTCCTTTTTTTTTTTTCCTTGGTAGGGAGAGCCAAGGGGTGGATGACATTATCTTTCAGCCCAGACCAGCTGAACTTTGATGTTTAACAATTATTTGGCTTATAAGTCTGATAATTCAAACGAGGCTTGTAAAACTTTATGTTTTGTTAGATCACTCACGATTTTCTTCTCACTTACTGTAATTGAATTTGTGTAATGGGAAGCATCGTAAGTTAGTGATCATAGTAGAACAAGATAAGTCTGAAATGTGTTACATCATCCTTTTGTCCACAGTTTAAAGAAGTTCATACACGTTTGACTTTCTTGTTACCGTTTAGCATAAACAATGAAAGGCTCAAAGCATTACATCAATGTTTGTCCAGAGGTTGGAAAAGTTTATTCTTGCTATGCACCACATTGGACTTTGTTGTCTTCTTTTTCCACAATTCTGCTTTAATTTGCTATGCTAAAACTTGTTTTCCAAGAACGTAATTCATTCAAGAACCTCAAAGGATTAGAAGTTTTTATCTTGAATGTGCGTGTACCAGCATAGCTTAATTTCATTGTGGATGGTTTATGTATTTCTATTTAGTTGCAATCTCACTGAGCAAAATCAAATGCAGCTGGTAAGAACTATGTAAAAATTAGATTTAACCAGGGAATTTTGCTTAATGCGAAGGTGAGTCCTTCCTATTTCAATGTGAAGGTGCAGTAATAGCAGGGTAATTGAGCCTCATTTCTTGTCTCCTTTTGGGAAAATGTCTAGATGCTCATTTTTTTTTTCCGTTTTTCTCTGCATATGGATTTCATTTGATGTAGTGAGTAGCTTGCCTTTTATGTCAATTAGGGCTTTAGAAGTAATGGATTAACGCCTTTAAAAATGAGGAGGCCAACCTCCATATCCATTGTCTGCTGTAAGATATGCTAACAATCTTATAAGCCAGCACATTGCTACATAATTTCGATATGACTGGAAGGCTATTTTTCCTTGTTGCTTTTGGTATACATCAGAACAATGGCCATAGGCAGATATCATATTTAATATAGCTCCTGGAAGTCTGGACATTAGTGCATGAGTTTGCTATGAACATTTAGCGAAGATATTGACACTGTTGACTGCTAAGTGCTATTTTCAGTGTATCATAGTATCCTAGTTAGATAATGGTCATATCGATGTCCAGTAACATGAAATCAGCAGTCGTGGACCGTTTAATTGGAATTTGTATTCTCCTTGGTATTTAATGTTTTGGCCTTCTTGTTGGCTGCCGTATGTGCTGAAAATACATTGACTGCATGTTCATTATGATGTAAACTGTTGACCTTTTATTGATGCTGCTTTTGTTGATAAAATGTAGAATCGAATCCTAAGAGTAAACCTAAGAGGGAAAAGACAGAGGAAGAGAAGAAGTTCAAGAGGAGAGCAAAATATTTTTTGGTAACCCAACTTGTCGCGGTATTGGTCTTTATCTCCCTTCTTGGTGGGTCTAATGATGCTGAAGTAGAGTTTGAGGATGGTGATGATGGCTTGGATTATGAGTAAATGAAATGTTTTTTCTCCATTGAGAATGATTTTTTGTCCTTAGATTTAGGTAGTTGCAAGTTGCAGCATATAATTTTAGCAAGCATATTTCCTGATCTCTACCTTTGTTTTGATTAAAATTTTGGAAATATTCTTGTGTAATGACAAATAAATGATGTATTATTCTTGACGAAATTTGGTTCACAAATGGTAGAAAAGATGCTGCCAGCTCTTTCTTTCAACTTGGAAGGCAAACTTTAATTCGGTTCTCTAGGATTGACCTGTCCCAGTCGTTTACTTTGCTAGTGTTGGTAACTTGTATAGCTCAATCAATCAATAGCTTTGTACCACTTGATGAATCAGTATCTGGTAGGTGACTTGATTCAGTAGAAATCTTGTTTCATATTTGATGCAATTGTGGCTTCTCTGCAACTTATGGTATTAAGAGCTTGTTGGGAGTTCTGGTTTTAGTTTTTGGTAAGAGTCATTTGGACAAAGATTAAGCACATCGCCATAAGAGATGGTGTCAACAAGACAGCTCTTAAAATTGTCCAATTCAAGCTCAGCCTTCTCCCCCTTTGTCCTTACCAGAATAAGTACCAATCTCAGTACTTTTATTACTCTTAGTATTGATCTTGTCCCAGTACTTCAATTACCCTTTACTTAGGCTTCAATACCCCGCCCTTTTTCCAAGATAAATTTTGATAATTTTCCAATCGAAGTATTTTCTATCGGATTTTTTTGTTCATATATTAATATCTGCTGCATGTACTAGATAAGAATTGATGAGAATACTCTCCAACATATTTACTTGACCTTTTATATTAGAAAATAAAATTCAACACAAGATTCTTGCATAATGTTCCAATATTAGGGTAACAAGAAATAACATTAACAAACAGATCAAACGGGGACGCCATATCCTTATTTAGCAACAGTGAAACAACTCTGGACGTTCATTGTTGCACCTAGTACAGCATTTGTTCCCATTTTCTGCCTGCAAATCTTGGGAATTTGCCTCAGCTAGCTTTTTGTAACTCCAGAAACAGAAAACAGAGACAGTTTTAATGGAACCAAAGATGGAGATTTCCCTCGGCATTCAAAATAACAGAAGCAAGAAAATCCAAAGCCACTTCTGTGACAAGCTCCATGCTGAGCTCCCTCCCAACTCTTGCATTGGCTATCGCAATTCTCAGTTTCTATGCATATCCCAGTCCATGTCTGGCTGCGCTTCGAGCAAATTTTTCCTACGGCCTCCGCCATCTCTAACTCTATATACAATAAGCAAGAACATGTTAAAAATTTTCAGTTTTTTTGTTAATTGTTTTTGTTTATGTGATCAGAGCATGATGCCTAGTAAAGCTAAATCAAGTTTACCCTTTCTAATAGTTTCTAAAGGGCCCTAAAGATTAATGTAAATATGTGATTTTCATGCAACCCTTAATTTTCATAAGGAAGTATAGTAGGCCTAAGTAAAGAACGAGAACAAGTGAGGGCTAAGTTGTAAATGTCGGTTGACAGAAAAAAAAAGTTGATGACCGCATTTCAGAAAAAATAAAAAAACCATTAGTTTATGTAGTGTAAGAGAGGTGCATTTTTATATCCAACTTTGATAATCTCTCTTGGACTTAAGACTATTATTAGTAGTTAAGTCCTATACTGATTCTTTTTAAAATGTTGTTACGTAATGTTAATATTGATAAATGACAACATGCCAGAGCATTACATACTTGGGAAATTGGAATAAAGAATGACTTCAGGTGCGTGATTCACTGCAAAGTTCGGTATAAATAGTGGAAGTTTTTGACAACTAACCGATTGAAGCAATGAGGAGAAAGCAGAAGAGGACTGCAACCAAGGTACTGTAGCTGATCAGTCGAGATTTAGCCATCTCCAATCTTCAATCTCTTTGCAATTCGTGTTTCAAAAGAGTTGTTTCAAAAGAGTAAAGATGGCATCTATATATAGCAAAAAATCAGTCTGAGTCAGGGATCCAGACCTCACAAGTTGAAATATGTCAAGTTTACACAAATTTCTGTAACTTTTACAACCTCTAGTATAAACTTAGTACAATTTTGAAGTAATTGTGAATTGTGCATCAACTTAGTTGTATGAGTTGACAAATTCAAGTTTACATCTAAACTATATGAATTTATACTAAAAATTATAAGAATTATAATGGTCAGTTTGAACTAGATAAACTAGATAGAAACTAAACTTGTGATGTCTCCGATCCCTAAATTAATGATTTATTTTTAATATTTTTCTGAGATCAACTTTATCAATCAATAATATGAACTCAGTGAGTGGTGCTCGGTGGTACAGGTTAAGTAGTAGACATTGATGCATAAGGACAGATACCACTTGCTAGATTAAGCAAGTCAGATTTGTTCAATGTACCACGTGTGTAGGGTCATGAGCAAAAGCAGCAAAATACAATGGATTGGAAGTCAAAAAACTGCACGCATTATGCAACAAGTTGACATGGTTGCTATTGATTGAATGCCAAAGTGATCCATATCCTGTTTGTTAGTTCCTTTTCAATCAGCATTCGTTGTTATGAATGTTTTTCGGTTCCTCACACAAGCATAAATGAGGGATACAATTTTGGATATATTGGCAAATCAAGTTTCAATCTCTCCATTTTTTGTTGGGCTGTGTCGGTAGAGTTTTAGGTCCTATATTGGCAGGATATTTTTTTTTTCATTTTTTCCTCTTTGAAAAATACTTTAGTAGGTTCTTGGTATATGAGTTTACTTGTAAATCATATACATTAATTTTCTTGCATCATCATACATGATAACTACCACTTTTCATATGTCATCGTATGTCAAAAGTAATTATTCTTGAATACCAATATGTTCTACAAATGAGTCAACAAACTATTTCTACCCAAGCATTTTCCCCTTCTTTTTGGTCGTACTAGGAGGAGATCACCGCGCAAATGCATGGTGGACAGTTCTAAAATTTATGTGCCCAGTTATGCCCTATTTACAAAATGTCTGCAACGCAACTAAGGATCAAAAAATGGGAAACTATGTCATTGAAAAGTACAATAATATACACAATAAATATAGATTGTTCACAGTCAAGGAAATCATAATAAATAGATAAAACAATAAAATTAGTCTTGTAGAATCTTGAAACTTGAACTTGAACTTCCATGATTCCGATAAATACATATTTTAACTTAACCAAAAACAAAAATTTTCTGTAGTTCGTACTCGCCCCAGAAGTGTAATGAGCAATTTCGAAAGAAACTGCTGAAGAACCTGCCATGTATTATAACAAAAAAGAAAGTAAGATATAATCCATCGAAATTAGTTTACTGCTGTAAAACCAAGTTAAAAATAAATCAAGGGACTTGAATAATGCCAACAAGTACAGGACAAATTCAACAAACATTTGCACTTTCGGTTACTAATACTCTCATAAAAAATTTGTTACCACTTGTATTTTTTAACCCATTTCACAAGCAAGAAACTTTTCTTTTTTCTTTTTTTTTGGTACAGTAGTTGTCAAAGTCAAGAAATGAAAAATTTCTTATAGGTAACCTAAAGTGTCTTGCTTGGTAACTCGAGTTCTCACCAAAGTGAAACTATTAGATGTGCCAGATCCTTGGAGATGGTATGCAAGTAAACTTTTCCACAACTTGATCATGCAGCTGCGCAATTTACACAAAATGCCAATGGAAGATTAAGGTGAAAAAGGAAATAAAATCATGTAAACAAATAGGCCAAGAAGATCCTAAAATGAAAAAATGAAGCAGAAACTTCTCCAGAGATGATATCTTTATATTCTAATGACATACTCCAATCCAAAAGCCAAAATATATGCAACTCTAAATAATGTCATGTAATTCAGCTTTTATTCCCAATAAAGTTCATATTACTCTAGCATCAAGAATCTATAAAAATTTTCAGGTGTAAAGAAAAATAGTGAAGGCAATATTCATCTAAAAAATTGGTATTCAATTATGTTTCAGGGTTGCTCCTATTGAATATTCGCAGGGTTTACATGGATTGTTGAGTTTTTGCAACAACTTATTTAATCAAACTTTTGATATCTATTCTACTCCCATAGAAAGAAGACACAAGCACATGTGACTATTAAAAACCCCTAAAATGGAACACAAAACTCTAAATATATAGGGAAGGCAAATAACAAAAAAGTTTCTATGAGTTGCTCTTCAATTTTTCATTTTTTTGTAAAATCTCAAAATTAGTCCAACGTTGGTCATAAAGTTTTGCTAATCTCAATATTATTAAGAACACAGGTTTCAAAGCAGATTCATCAAGTTCACTATTCCCTGATTGTCACAGTCAGCATTAGTTTGTTAATCATTGTTAATTGGGACATACTTCACACATTTCACATGGTTTGAAATTAACTAGTTCAACTGTTAACAGCCTGAGGTTTTAAGCCAAGTATTTGAATAAGTTCTATAGATAGCATGCTTAGCAAAGCAAGAATGACATTTCAGACTTTAATCAAATGATATTAATCCAAATCCAAAAAAAATAAAAGAAAATTACCTACAAAATACCTATGAAATACGTATAAAAGAAAATTACCTATGAAATAGCAAAGCAAGCCTATTGTCAATTTTCAAAGGAGATGTAGAGTACAGCAATCATTATTAACTTCAATTAACTTCAAAGTCTTGAAAAAAAAGAAACACAGCCTCTGAAGATCTTTATCACAGTAAAGGTGAGTAAAAAGATAGTCTACCATGGCACAAAAAGATAAGAATTAGTTTCTTCATCTCAATTATAACTAAGAAAGTACTTGTTCACTACACTATTACCTCATACATTAAACCTTACACATTAACAAGCACAAATTGGAAACAGTGACATATTTTCAAATGTATCAGATGAAATTCATATACGGTATTCAGCAAGCAAAGATAACACCATCTGTCAAATACCACCCACAATTTGAACATCAGATGAACATTCAACACATGAATGTTACAATAAATGTCATCAAGTAGACAAATGCAGTGTACAATAGAGAAGTGATGTCAGAAACAAACTATCTGATACCCATTCCATTCAGCATTTAAAGGCATGCCTAGGGCTGGAGGAAATATCATTGATGCTGAAGACCAGGGTGAGGCACATTGTGCTGAAGACCAGGGTGAGCACCTGAGTAGCACCAATAGAGCAGATCCACTAGTAACAAAACCCAAAGTATGGTCATTTCCTGCTACAAAAGTAGGATCGGGATTAGATGTATCCAATAATAACATATTCATATAAAGAAAAGAAACTTTAAAGTTGGTTAGAAGAAAGAAGATTTCACAAAAAAAAATGGCGACAACAGAAACAAGAGGAGAAATCTATTGAGAGAGCATAAAAACAAGTCTTACCAACATAAATCAAACAATAAAATAATGTCACCGATGAAATTTCCCCAAAGGGAACAAAATACTGTATATATATGTGGAAGCAAATTCTAGAGAAGTTTCTATGCATTATTTTCCAATCTTTCTTTTTTGCTAAAAATGTAAAATTGGGTCCAACATCAAAGGTCAAAGTTGTGAAGCACAGGGATACTATTTTCTGAACATATTTTTTTCCAGCCAAAGATCTTGCCAAGTTTCTTTAGTAATTTAAAAGAGGAAAGATGGTATCTTCATAGTAGATAACATGGATTTTGCTTTTGAAACTCCATTTGTCTAATTCATATAACTATGTATCTCATGAATCATGAACTGATGAAAACATCTTCAAGGAAGCCAGTCATAATAATGATTTCACTTTGCAAGTCAAAACCACAAAACCAGAAAAATCGACTATGAAATAAAGATTTCATCATACAGCTTCCCAAATCTTGACATTACCAAGAATACCAAGTAGTTTAAATAACAAATTCATCATGTTCACCAGCCAAGGGAAAAAATGAATATAGAGAAGAAAAAGATACTCGTATCTAATTTACTTTGACAAACACAATAAAACCCAAAACACAAAACACTGGAAGAAAGTTACTCATTCTTCCAATCACTTTTACCTTTATCCTTTCTCTGACAAAAATAGGCCAAATTAGGTGAGAGAAACTATTTATAGAAAAAGACTATGGTTTATAGTATAAATAGTATAACACAAATAAATATTACCAGCTTTAACTACTTCTTCGAGATATCAACTTCAAATCTTCATATTCCTTCCTGTAACAACAACCAATAAATATACTCAGAAAAGTAACACCAAAAGAACAAAAAAAAGAGAGAAAAAAAATCGTCCATCAAATCCTAAACTGGGAGTGGAAGGGAAAAAAATTAAATCAGAATGATACAACAAAACTTATGTTTTCCCTTACCAGTTGTTTTTCATGGGTGGCCATTTTTCCTCCAAGAAAGGCAAAAATGGAAGAACAAAACACCAAAGAGGTATAAACAATTAAGTAAATAAATATCTAAAAGCTAGCTAATCTTCAATTATTCATCATCTCATACGATATTAAAAGTTTTTCTTCTAATTAAAAATTAAAAATCAATGATAAAACAGAAATGAAACAGAGATGAAAGGGGAAGAAAAGTACCATATATGCATTCTAGAAATTCACATCAGATAGTGGAGATGAAATATTGACCTTCCCCTTCCTCATTGTTTCACAAAAGGACACGAAGGAGATGGGAAAAAGAGATTTGCTTTTAGCCAAGAAAATAGAAATATCAGAAAAATGACAAAAAAAAAAAAAAAAACGAAGGAGATTTTGAATTGAAGCAAAAAATTCCAACCAGATCTTTGGTTTTGTTGTTGTCAATCAGAGAAAACGAAGGATAAGAGAGGAAAAGGGACTTCAAAAGGGGGAAAAACTTACAAAATAGCATGACGACGATGGAGAAAATCTCCAAATTTCATACTTGCAACATCACAACATCACAAAAGAAAAATAATTAGACGTGATTTTTTGAAGATCTAAGAAAATCAGATCTGTTGATAACAAATCTCGGGAAAGAAAACAACCATCGAACACAGAAAGATTGCATCCTTTTTTCCTTTCTTATTTATCCAACAAATACCTTGGCCAGAAAAGATTTATTACGGAGATATAAGGGAAAAAATCTAGAGAAAATGTAAAAAAAAAAAGCAAAAAGAAAATCACAGAGAAAGTGTTCACCTTTAGAGAACAATCTCCACATTTCTTCATGGTTTAGTTGATAGTCTGACCTCTCAACCTGTGACAAAAAATATGAAACTTATCAGAGAATGAGAGAAAATTTAATCAAGGGGGGAAAAATGTATACAGAACAAATATGGAGAAATGGTGGACTTGAGAGGAAGATGAAAACTCAAGAGAGAAGAACAGGAGGAAACCATGAGAAAGAAGCTTCTAGTACAACGGATTAACGAATTGAGGTGATTGATGTGGATTGACCAGCTCTGCCACTCTTCAGCCAATAGCTTTGTTGCAAAAGCCAAGAATTGAGGGAGACCTCTCCCTTACCAGTTTACTTGGTGGTCAAAGACCCGCACAAAAGGAAACAAAAGGATTGCTAAACGCCTGAGCAAGCAAACAAAAGAATTCACGCGTGAGAACGAACGACCATTAATTGGAAATTCGCACGGGCGGACGATCACCAATCAACCAATAGCAGCAGCACGCCACGTCAGCAATCACAACCCAATTGAAAACGATGGCATTCCCAATAGACTAGATATGTTAATTAAAATATGTGTTTGGTTTTTTTTTAATTGGGTGCCATAGAGACACATAAAAAGCACAAAAAGAAAAGGAAAAAACATTGGATGTGAGGTTGGAGCCATTATGAGAAGTATACAACTACCATCGACTGCTTCAATTGCATACACGTTCGCAGTAAAACTCTTTAACTCTTTTACGGAGCAAATGACACCAAATGCAATGAGCTAAAAGAGTAAATCTTCTATATACTTTCAGTATAAACTGAGTTTATATTGATGGCTTACCATATTGTGCCATTTCATTGTTAGAAATCAGCAAGTTATTGAAGCCTGTATTGATTATCAAAAGATTTAATTAACAAATATTTAGTTTGTAACAAAATCATTGACAGGGTGTCGAAGCCTGTACAATAATAAAATTAAACCTAATTGCCAGTTAAAATGACCAAAACCCAATTCCAAGTACTGGAGCAGGGACTCTAGGTGTGCAATGGGTTACTTGATTCACCCTGTTCCCGAAAAATTTCTTGATTCGATATACCCGAATGGGATGATTTTTTTTCACAAATAATTATGAATTTGTAAACAGGGCAAGTAGGGTCGTATCCTCAGGGACTGGGTCTATTTGTCTCTTAAGAAATTCAAAGTAACGCAGGGGGTGATTTTGTAGGAACGACGACAATCAAATAAATTCAAATAAGAAAATAAAAATAAATAACTAACTAGGAATTAAACAACAATTCATTGAACTTAGAGTAACAATAATTAAAGGCCTAAATCAATTAAAACAAGAAAACAATTAAAAATAAAATAAAGTAGGCAACTAAAAGTCAAATGGCAATTCACTAAAATCAAGGTAATATTAATTAAAGATCTAGCCAAGAAATAACTTCAGCAATGGTTCACCTAATTGATCATCGATGCAAAGGCAATCCCAATTATTTACCAATAAAAGGTTATAACTACCAAACAAGCGATGGCAGTCAACCTGTCCTTACTGTGTCGGTGATTAAGGTACGCCGTTAATCACTGCTCTAATTAGGAAATAATCATAGGTATGCCCATAAGATTTAATTCCCAATTGCCTTACGTATTAGAGGGCTCTATTCTAACCAAATAACGCGCTACCAGGGTTATTTCAGATTAGCCCGGTATCCTCCTGACACAAACCCAATCGTGCCAGTTGTCACTAATTCAAGGCAATTAAACAATTACGGATTTAAATGCCCTAATTGACAATAGATTATCAAATTAACTAATTATCCAGATCCAAGATAATCAATTAATTAAATAACCATAAGCATAGCAATTGAGGAATATGCGAATACCAATAAATAAAAGAGAAAGATAAAATTAAATCGATCTCACAATTTTTAGGCAATCCAAAGCATCCGTTGTTTCCTGACTAGTGTGAGGAAATTAGTTCATATCTGATGAACTGAATCTGCAGGAAGTTGAAACAAGTCGCGGCTATTGTCATAGAAAGTGGGAAAATTCAATTCTCTCCAATCAAGAAAAGATAGCAAAGTTACAAGAGGTAGCCCTCTGTTTCACTTCGGATGACATACGAAAAAGCAAAAGCAATTGCCAATAATTCAGATGAAGAAAAGTCAAGGTTTTCCCAATTTTGCTCCTGACATCCGTAGATGAATCCCACTACCACAAGCTAAGGAAGAAAAGTCAAGCTAATTTACTAAGCCCTGACATTCGTGAGCAAGAAGAAAAGAAAAACCAAGAAACACTAAGCTAAAGGAGATAATCATCCCCCGCTACTCAATCCAATTCCTATCTAATGGTCTTCCTTTGTGCGGCGGCTCCCAGGGAAAAGAATTAAGACTTCGGCCAAATGACCAAAAAGGGCTTGCGTCTCCTTGTTCCAAAAATGCCCCTGCAAGCCTTCTATTTGAATTCTTTCCCGATGACTGTCAAATTGGCATTGATTGTGGTGTTTTCGATCTACTCCCTGAAATAACTGTAAATTATGGAAAGTGAGTAGAATCCAATAATAAATTCACATCAAGTCAAGTAATAGGGGAAATTAGTAATAAAATAAATGATAAAATTGCAACCTATCAATCCCCACCACCCTAAACCATGCTTGCCCTCAAGCATAAGAAAAGTACACAGACACCAAAATTTGATAATGGTCATTGTTCTATCTACCAAATTGCCAAGATATCAAGAAAAACCATATATCGAGCACTAGTGATTAAAATCCGAGAAGCATCCCCCCAGTTAGCCTCTAAACCATAAACTCATTCAATTTCCAAATTAGCTAATCTAAGAAAAAGGAATGGCGCATAACATTTATCAGCAAACAATCCAAATATTAACCAAAATCTCCATATTAAGTCCATGAATCGGCAAGCTGACCTCTAACACGCATTAACACAACCTGCACTTTTCTCTTTTTTTTTATTATTATTTTTACATTCCCTTTTTTTTTATAATAATAACACGAAAAAACTTAGTCTCTAGCCATTGGAGCCTTTTGACGCGAACTCCAACATTTTTAGATGAAAGAGCCCGGTTACTCAGCTCCTACCGGTATACGACCGCGTACTCATAGAAAGTACTATTTTTTGACGCGAGAATCGACTCTTTTAGGTGCAGATCCCCGGTTACTCAGTAGTAACTAATAGCGGAGTACAGTCAAGCTTATTCACAGCCAAACAACGCAAAAACGTAAAATAACAATACTAAAAACCAAAAATAGGAGCAGCTCGCCTCATTATTGCCAAACATGGAGAGTTAGAGTCAATATTGGATCAATTCACATTAAAAAGCCAACAGTCATTCCCTATTCCTAGAAAAGTTAACAAAAAAACCAAAAGAGTCAAGCAGTCCGATATGCACCAAAGAGATATTTTGGACTCAACCACATTAACTCGATACACTTTTATTTTAAAAACTTGGCAAAAGTAGAATTAGAGGCAATACCTTAACACCAAATCCTGGTATTCACATGAGAGCTAAACACCAACAAGAAAGAACGAAAATGAACGAAAGATAGAAAAGTCACAAACTAAAAATAAAACTTAAAACTAAAAACTACAAAAACTAAAAAAAACTAAAAGAAAAACACAGGCACCCCATTAGATCCCCCCCACACCTAGAGGGCACATTGCCCCCAATGTGACAAATAAACAGCAAAAGTAGGAGAAAGGGCAACTAAACTTCCCTGAAGTCGAGTCAAAGTGGTGGACGAGGTGGAAATGGAGGAGCGAAACCCGTATAAACCAGAAATTGCGCCAAATTCTGCGCCATGCCGGCTACATTGGCATCGATGTTGAGCATCCGAGCCTCCAAATTCTGAACCTGCTCCCGGAGTTGTTGCCATTCAGTAGTCCTAGGTGGTGGAGGTGGCGTAGTGTCCTCGGCTGACCCAGGAAATGAAGAGGGCCCTGCTTGTGTCGAAGGGTGTGCACCCGGAGCTCGAAACTGGTCCCGGAGGGGTAAACTGGTAAGAACCATCGGGCAGACGCGCGATGACTCCCATCTTCTCTAAGCAGTCCACGTCCAGGAGCTCCATCTCGAATGCCAAATGCAAGTCGTGGTCCTCCAGGTTAAGACTCCCAACCGTATCGCCAAATGGGTGATATAGGACCCAAGGATCAGGGGTTTGTTCTTTTTGGCTAAGACAGTCTTGAACTGTGCCGCCAACAACATCCCAAGTTGACCTTGATGTTATTCTTCATACTCCAGATGAAGAAGAACTCGGTCGAGAGAGAATATTGGAGCTGTCTTTGCGACCGGAGTAGCTGTAGGCTAAGAATCGCTGAACGTATCGGGCACTAGGGTCCTTAAGAAAGGAGCTCCTAGACCTAGAAGGGTCATAGCGGTGCCCATCGGTGGACATGTCCTCCCACACGTCGTGGTAGCGGGAGAGAAATGGTTCGATATAATCACAGGCATTCCCAGCATATTCCCTAGTCTCAGTATACTCTCGAGTAATGAACCCAAATGCCAGATTAAATTGGGTAATGGAGAAATTAAATTCCCGACCCATCAGACGGAAACGAATGACATTTGGTGTCTCAACGGTGTATCTCGTGGGCAACTCAAACTCAAAGGTGGAGTAAAACTCCCGAATCAGCTCGACAAAGGTGGGGCAGAAGATATCAAGATATGGGCGCCACCCTATGGTTATAAATATCTGCTCAACCTCCTCTCGTATGCCTAGGCCAATCATAGCCAGTTTGTCACAAGATTTACAGGATATGATATGCCTCTCACAGACCTTAGCGTATCTCTGCTGATCGGTGGGTCTAGTGAAGGTCAAATGCCCCCCAAAGTGAGCCGGGGTATTCACCTGAGGACCTCTACCTCTACTCAAGCGGGTTCGGACACTAGAAGAGGAGGGTAGGTTGGTAGGTATATTCACATGAATGAAGGCTTGGGGTGAGGGCTGAGATTGAGAGGCTCTAGACCTAGAGGATGACCTTGGTTTCACCATGTCTCCCAACAGGCAGCTCAATTAACAAAATACCGAATTGTCACCCGTGAGCAACTAGCAAAGGCGACAGTCCCCAAATACGTATTTAACCACCAGAGAATAGGAATACCCAATGTTGCAACAGAGATTCAACAGAGGACAAAATTACAGTGAATAGAAGTAGCAATTCAACGCAATTGCTAGAATGTCCCCAACATATCGACCGAATACACCAATCTCAACAAGTAAACCAAACGACCAGGTTACTGACTTCAGCAGGCAATTGTAGAAACAAGTCACCCAAATATCAATAGACAATGCAAAATTCCAGCCCACCCAAGAACTCAACAATTCGCCCCCAAAAAGTTGAACAAATGTCCCCAGCACTATCCCATAGCAAGAGCCTAAGGGGTCAACAATTTAAGCAATAATAGTGCAGAAATCCAACAGTAACAACTAAATCTCAAGCTTCCAGCTTCCAATCAATTTTTCAATAGAGTAGAATTAATCCAGTTGAGTCAAAATGCCCACAGAGTTGAGGAAACAATTCCAACGGCTGACCCAAAGTAATGAAAATCCCAACTCACAGTCAAAGGTACCACGGTCCAACTAAAATTTCAACAAGTATCCCAGTAATATGCTAAATCCAGCAATAGTAGTTCAGAAATGCAACAAGAGCAACACAATCACAAGCCCTTGGCAGACAATCAGGTATCCAACCAAATAGAGTGAACAAAGTCAAGTGAAAATACTCCCACCAGTACCACTGGGGCACACTCCAGTAAATGAAAAGTCTCAAATAGCAAACCCAATCAGCAAAATTTTCAATGGAAATGCCAATCCCCACAAAGATTTTACAGAGGCCGAAAACGTCACTGAATATGTGAAGAAGGGGAGCCAGGAAAAGTAACTAAATGCACAATCCAGTTAAGAAAGTTTCAACAAAAACCCAAGCAAAACAGCACTCAGTGGTAGTCCAACGATTCACTTCAATTTACGCAATAACTAAAGTGGCAAAATAAATCCCAATTGACTCCAAGATTGCCCGATGCATTTGAAATTGCAAAATTACCAACACCGATTGATGGACACAAAACAGGACAGGAGTTAGACGAATACCTCCACCTTGAAGACCACCGGGAGTGAAGATGCGGCGAGGAAAAGGGCGGCGGCACGCGTTTCGCGTGGCAGTGGTGAGAGGCTGCGGACAGAGAGAGAGCAAGGGAGAAACGCAGTGGACAGCGTGCAAGGAGAGATGCGAGCTGCAACAGTGGTGGCGTGCGACTACCTTGCATGGCAGTGGTGGAAGAAGGAGTTGATGACGGTGGAGCGCGGGCGATGCGCAGCAAGAGAGACGGGCGGATCGAGGGGAGGAGCAGTGGCGCTGGTGGTGGTGGCGTGCGAAGCGGAAGGAGGAAGCGGCACTGGAGGTGGAGCTAGCTGCGCGCGCTGTCGCTTGGCGTGCGGTCTCCAGCGGCGGTGCGCAGCAGCGAGCGGCAAGAGCGAGCGGCGACTGGCAGGAGGAAGGAACAAGGAACAAGAAAAGAAAGAAAAAGAAAGGAAAGGAAGGAGAAAAAAAAGAAAAAAAAGAAAAAGAGAAAAAGAAAACAAAATGATTTTTTTTTGTGTTTTTTTCCCTTTTTTTTTTGCTTTTGTCTTTACGGGAAGGGTTTTTTTTAAATTATTATTATTATTTTTAAATTTTATTATTTTAATTTTTAATTTTATTATTATTTTATTATTATTATTTTTTTAACCAATAATAATTTTTGTCTTTTTTTTCCTCTTTTTTTTTTTTGAATCCTCACCTTTCTTGCGAACATGACGCGGGCATGTCAAAAAGGCAGGGAAGCTGTCTGACCTTGAGCTCTTCATACGTCATGACGCGGGCACGTCATGAGGGCAGGAATCCTTTCTGACGATTCTGATCATGAGCTCTCTATACGTCATGACGCGGGTGCGTGATGACAGAGGGACAGTTACAAATCATCAAAACAAAAATTGAAACCCGAAATCATTCGAATTTAAGGAAAACATATCTAAACTATCACACGAAATCAAACAAACAATTAAAAGCAACAATTGGGTTGCCTCCCAATGAGCGCCTTTCTTTAACGTCTTTGACTAGACATGGCAAAGTGCTACAAAGTGGGACACGGTGGTGCATCTATACTCATCGTCTCCACTTCTCCACTTGAAAAACTTTCGTAATAATGTTTGAGACGGTGTCCATTCACCACAAACTTGTTGTCTGTCTTAGAACTCTAGATTTCAACTGCACCATATAGAAACACGTGACTAACAATAAAAGGTCCAATCCAACGGGAACGTAGCTTACCTGGGAAGAGTTTAAGCCTGGATTGGTACAGGAGGACCTTCAGACCAACTTCAAAGGTTTTTCTAGAGGTTTGTTGGTCATGAAATGCCCGACTTCTCTCCTTATAAATCAGTGCATTTTCGTAGGCTTCGTTCCGGATCTCCTCTAATTCTTGCAAATCCAACTTTCGTTGGGCACCGGTCTCTTCTAGGTTCATGTTGCATTGTTTTATCGCCTAGAAAGCTTTGTACTCGAACTCCACTGGAAGGTGACACGGCTTCCCAAATATCAATCTGTACGGTGACATCTCTATGGAGGTCTTGTATGCCGTCCGATAGGCTCAGAGTGCATCTTCCAACCGTTGATTCCAATCTTTCCTATCGGGGCGCACCATTTTTTCCAAAATGGTTTTAATCTCCCGATTCGATACCTCCGCTTGACCATTGGTCTGAGGGTGGCACGACGTTGAGACCTTGTGAAGTACACCATACTTGCGAAACAACGCAGCTATGGTTTTGTTGCAGAAATGCGTTCCCTATCACTGACAATAACTCTTGGCATTCCAAATCGCACAAAAATATTAGACCTGATAAAATCTGTAACTACTTTCGAATCATCAATCCGGATGGCCTTGGCCTCCACCCATTTAGACACGTAATTGACTGCCAACAAAATATATACAAAATCAAATGAGGTAGGAAAAGACCCTATGAAATCGATACCCCATACATCAAAAATTTCAACAAAAATTAACGGGACTTGGGGTATCTAATCTCTACGGGCTATATTACCTACCTTTTGACAGTGATCACACGACTTACAAAACACATAAGCAACCTTAAACAATGAAAACCAATAAAATCCACTTTTCAATACCTTATGAGCAGTTCTCTTAGGTCCAAAATGACCTCCACAGGCAAAAGTATGACAAAAAGTTAGAATTGGTTGAAATTCAGCTTCACTTACACATCGCCTCATCACCTGATCAGCACATCTCTTCCATAAGTACGGGTCATCCCAGATGAAATACTTGGCGTCACTCTTCAATTTATCCCTCTTCGATTTCGGCAACCTGCAGGGAAATTACCCGTTACCAAATAATTAACTAAATCCGCATACCAAGGCAATTTAGGCTTTAAAGAAAATAGATGCTCTTCAGGGAATGCATCCTTCAATGGCTCGTTCTCCTCCCCAACTGGTATGCGACTCAAATGGTCGACTACTAGGTTCTCTGAGCCTTTTTTATCCCTTATCTCCAGGTCAAATTCCTATAGTAGCAATATCCACCTGATGAGCCTCGATTTTGCATCTTTTTTGGTCATTAGATACCTTAATGCTGCATGATCAGAAAATACAATCACTTTAACACCTAGCAAATGTGACCTGAATTTTTCTAAAGCAAAAATAACCGCAAGAAACTCCTTCTCAATAGTGGAGTAATCCAATTAAGCCCCATTCAGGGCTCGGGATGCATAGTAGATGACGTGAGCTGCCTTTCCTACTCTTTGTCTCAATACAGCCCCTACAGTATGATCACTGGCATCGCACATAATCTTAAATGGTAAACTCCAGTCAGGGGGTTGAATGATCGGTGGCGAGGTTAATAGTTCTTTCAACTTGTCAAAGGCTCTCTCACACTTGTCATCGAATTCAAAGGTCACATCTTTTTGCAAGAGTTGGACCAATGTGACTCCAATTTTTGAAAAATTCTTGATGAACCTTCGATAAAAATTGCATGTCCAAGAAAAGAGTGCACTTCCCGCACACTGCGGGATAAGGTAAAGCATATATAATATCTACTTTCGCCTTGTCAATCTCAATGCCTTAGAAGATACAATATGACCCAGGACTATCCGTGCTCAACCATAAAATGATATTTTTCCCAGTTAAACATGAGATTAGTTTCAATACATCTTAATAAGATCAATCTCAGGTTATCTAGACATGTATCAAAACTATCACCATACACACTGAAATCGTCCATGAAAACTTCAATAATTTTTTTCATATATTCAGAAAAAATACTCACCATACACCTCTGGAATGTTGCAAGTGCATTGCACAACCCGAATGGCATCCGTCTGTACGCGAAGGTCCCGAACGGGCACGTGAAGGTCGTCTTCTCTTGGTCCTCTGATGCAATTGCCATCTGAAAATATCTTGAAAATTCATCCAAAAAGCAATAATAAACTCTACAAGCCAAACGTTCAATCATTTGGTCAATGAAATGGAGAGGGAAATGGGTCCTTTTTTGTGACGGCGTTTAGCCTACGGTAGTCAATACACTGCCTCCATCCAGTAGGTTTGCGCACTGGCATGAGCTCACCCGCGTTTGGTTGGCTTCTACCGTCACTCCTGCCTTCTTTGGGACTATCTGGACCAGACTCATCAAGAGCTATCTGATATCGCAAAGATGATCCCCACATCTAACAGTTTCAAAAATTTCTTTCTTCACCACTTCCATCATGAGGGGATTGAGCCTCCTTTGAGCCTGTTGTACAGGTTTAGCATCCTCTTCGAGTCTAATCCGATGCATACAGATGGAGGGGCTGATTCCCTTGATGTCTGTGATGGTCCAACCTATCGTCTCTTTATGCTTTCTAAGGACTCGGATCAACTTCTCCTCCTGAGTTTTCGAGAGTGAATCTGAGATAATTACCGGAAGTGTTTCATTGTCGCCCAGATACGCATATTTCAAATGCTCCGGCAGGGATTTCCACTCCAATACGGGTGTCTGCACCACCGATGGTAATACCCTTTGGTGAGGTTCAGGAATGAATATAGGTGAAAGTTCATACCTTTTTGGGGAGGTCGGCAATGAGTGTAATGCTCCTATCGTGCATTTTAAATCTTCACTCTACTCCACCTCAGGAGTCGTCTCCAACTCGAGGTGCTTGGTCAAAACAACTTCCAATTCATCGCTGCCAACAGTTTCAAACACTTCCTGCACCGCAGGGTCAATAGCACTCACAGAAAAAATAGAGCTAAAGTTAGAGTTTGAGGGATATTTCATAGTATCAAAGATATTAAAATCTACAATTTCTCCATCAAACTCCATGGACAAGGTACTTTTATTAACATCAAATTTTTGTTTGTGCTGTGCTCATAAAGGGTCTACCCAATAACAAAGGTGAGGGATCGGGTGAGTGATCATCATCCATATCAAGCACATAAAAAATCAGTTGGAAATACCAAATCATTAACTTTACCAACACATCTTCAACCAACCCATCAGGATATGCATTAGTTCGGTCAGCTAATTGAATGATTATCCCAGTTTCTTTTAATGGACCTAGTTTTAGAGAAGATAGATTTAGGCATGACATTAATTGATGCTCCCAAATCCAACATGACCCTTCTAATCACAGTGTTGCGTATTCTATAGGGAATAGTAAACATACCTGGGTCCCACACTTTGGTGGAAGCTTTCTTTGCAGGACCGCTGACACATTCTCCCTACAATGACCCTTTCATCTCCCTCTCAACCGCCTTTGATTGACACACAAGTCCCTTAGGAACTTGGTATATTTCGGTACTTGTTTGATTGCGTCTAAGAGGGGAATATTAATCTCTACCTTGCGAAACACCTCCAAGATTTCCTTCTCCTTATCTTGCTTCTTCGATTTTTCCAATTTGCTAGGGAAAGAAGGCGGGTTAGTTTTAACTGTGATTATTGGGTCTGGAAGTACCTTTGGATTTGCACCATTGCTATCCTCCCTCTCAAGCTTATTTTCGATCTTTTCCTCATCCTTGTCCTTAGGGATCACAGGCTCAGGCCCCAGAATTTCCTTCCCGCTCCTTAGGGTTATCGCGCTTACATTATTCGGGTTCAATTCAGGTTGAGACGACAATTTACCTTGCACTTGGGACTCCAAGCGGTTGATTGTTTTGGCCATTTGATTCATCTGATTTCTTATGTCCTATCTCTCGGAGTCCGCCTTTTGTTGATTAGCAAGTAGTTACTTCATCATTTCCTCCAAAGATGGACCAGAGCTCGGAGGCTGAGGTGGTCAGGGTTTGGTACTGCTGCTGATACCCTGGTTGCTTATTTGACATGAAATTAGTCTGTCTGTTCCCTCCATAACTGAGGTTAGGGTGGTCCCTCCAACCAGGGTTGTAGGTACTTGAATAGGGGTCATAGGCCTTCTTGGTGTGAGCGCGTGACCTGCCATGTTCACTTGCTCTGCACCCTCCTCTTGCATCATTGGACACATGTCTGTAGAATGACCCATACCAGTGCAAATCCCACACACCTTGGCCTGAGATGCATTTCCTACAGCCAGTTGCCTAGCAAAAGAAGTCAACTCAGTTAGCTGCTGCTGGATAGAGGATGTCTCTACCTCATTCACCTTACGTATTGGGACATCCTCCCTCGTACCGAATTGCTGTGAATTCTCTGCCATTCTCTCAATTAATTCCCATGCTTCCCGAAGAGTTTTGTTCACAAATGCCCCTCCACTTGCAGCATCAATTATGCTCCTGTCCCTGAAAAAGAGCCCCTCATAAAAATACTGTATGAGCAACTGCTCACTTATCTGGTGCTGGGGGCACTTGATGCACAACTTCTTGAACCGCTCCCAATACTCATAGAGTGACTCCCCGGGTGCTGCTTGATCCCGCAAATTTCTTTCCTTAGACTTGCAGCCCTGGACACAAGAAAATATTTATCTAAAAATTTTTTCTTTAATTGGTCCCACGTGGTGATGCTACATAGTGGCAGGTAGTACAGCCAATCCTTTGCAGAATCTTTCAAGGAAAAGGGGAATGCCCTCATTTTTATTTGCTCTTCTGTAATGCCCGGGGGCTTCATATTGTTGCACACGACATCAAACTCCTGCAGATGTTTATACGACTCTTCACCTAGTAAATCATGAAAAGATGGTAAAAGATGAATCAGACCAGATTTTAGTTCAAATGAAGAGCTATATCATCTAAACTTGGGAAAGTAATGCACAAAGGCTGTTGGTTTAAGTTGGGAGTAGCCAATCCCTTAATATTCGTGCATTAGCCATGGCAATTTCCTCTTGATCAGAGTCACTCGAAGTGTCACCAAACAAATCTGTTGGTTCAACTTCTGGCTCAGGTCTCTGAGATGCAACGCTGGACTGCTCCTCTCTGAGCTGTCTGGTTTCCTTTCTCGTTCTACGCGCGATCTTCTCTACTTCAGGATAAAAAATCAAATCACCTGTACGAGAAAATCGAGACATATACTATAAA